GTTAAACCACAGAGCCTAGGACTTGCCTATCAGAAGGTTGGCGGTTCGAATCCCCGCAACGGGGTGAGCTCCCGTTGCTCGGTCCCTGCTCCTGCCCACCTAGCAGTTCAAAAGCACGTCAAAGTGCAAGTAGACAAATAGGTTATTTGTGGGGCCTGCCTGGTGTTTTTACATGAGTAGAATGTGTCCTTTTATTTAAAATGCGTCTCTGGGTTCTTTGTGGGGCATAGGAATTCATTAATTCATTTATTTTTTCAAAATATAGTCCGGCCCCCCAAAAGGTCTGAGGGACAGTGGACCGGCCCCCTGCTGAAAAAGTTTGCTGACCCCTGGAACAGAGGATCAGGCGTAACCCTGAATAAATGGCAAGCCTGTCTTCAAAATGCACTGTAGGGTTTTCCTTGCTGTGACACTGGGTGCGTTTACGGGGCGAGAGACTTGCTTTCGCCTGCCCCAAATGTGGAGCAATCAGGAGGCTTGCCAAAAACAAGGGCGTGTGAAGTCGGCCGTGGGGAGGAAAAGGGTATTTCCCCCAATACGACTGATGTGCTTTTACGGGTTTCCTTTTGACAAATTGGAAGGGAGCGCAGACGCCTCCCAGAGCCACCTCTGCGGTTGAAAAAGCCGCAGCAAACAGAGACGAGGAAGCAGATAAGAGCTGCTTTGTATGGTCATGCCTAAAACACATCGGCCCAGTTTCCTGTTTCCAAGAGTGGACAGCCTCTGGGAAGCTCGCAAACATGGCATCGAAGCGATAGACTTTTCTCTCTTTAGTTTTGGCCTGCTCCATCAGACCTGCTGTCCTTAAACAGGGTGGGTCATCATGGCTATGAGCCCTTGGTACTTTTCTGCTCTATAAAGATCAGGCCAAAGTTTCAGCATCCCAGTAAGAAGAAGAAGAAGAGTTTGGATTTGATATCCCGCTTTATCACTACCCTAAGGAGTCTCAAAGCGGCTAACATTCTCCTTTCCCTTCCTCCCCCACAACAAACACTCTGTGAGGTGAGTGAGGCTGAGAGACTTCAGAGAAGTGTGACTGGCCCAAGGTCACCCAGCAGCTGCAGGTGGAGGAGCGGGGAAGCGAACCCGATTCACCAGATTACGAGTCCACCGCTCTTAACCACTGCACCACACTGGCTCTCTCTTCCAGTGTACTGGAAGAAGCAAAGATCACCCGTGTCGAAGCAATGATTCTTCAATATCAACTTCGTTGGACTGGTCATGCTGTTCGGATGCCTGATGATCGTCTTCCAAAGCAACTACTCTATTCCGAACTTAAAAATGGAAAGCGTAATGCTGGTGGTCAACAAAAGAGGTTCAAAGACTCTCTCAAGGCAAATCTAAAAAAATGTAGTATAAACACTGACAACTGGGAAACACTGGCCTGCGAGCGCTCCAGTTGGAGAACAGCCTTTACCAAAGGTGTCATGGGCTTTGAAGACGCTCGAACTCAGGACGCAAGGGAGAAACGTGCTAAGAGGAAGGCATGCTTGGCAAACACTCACTGGGATCAACTCCTGCCCAGAAACCTATGTCCCCACTGTGGAAGGACGTGTGGATCCAGAATTGGCCTCCACAGTCACTTACGGACTCACTGTTAAAACTGTGTTTATGGAAGACAATCTTACTCGGCTACGAGGGATCGCCAAAGAAGAAGAAGAAGAAGAGGAAGAAGAAGAAGATCAGTTGTGCCAGGCAAATGTTCTCACCAACACTTGTTTGTTGTTGTTGTTTAGTCATTTAGTCGTGTCCGACTCTTCGTGACCCCCTGGACCAGAGCACGCCAGGCACTCCTGTCTTCCACTGCCTCCCGCAGTTTGGTCAAACTCATGCTGGTAGCTTCGAGAACACTGTCCCACCATCTCGTCCTCTGTCGTCCCCTTCTCCTTGTGCCCTCCATCTTTCCCAGCATCAGGGTTTTTTCCAGGGAGTCTTCTCTTCTCATGAGGCGGCCAAAGTCTTGGAGCCTCAGCTTCAGGATCTGTCCTTCCAGTGAACACTCAGGGCTGATTTCCTTCAGAATGGAGAGGTTTGATCTTCTTGCAGTCCATGGGACTCTCAAGAGTCTCCTCCAGCACCAGAATTCAAAAGCATCCATTCTTCGGCGATCAGCCTTCTTGATGGTCCAGCTCTCGCTTCCATACATCACTACTGGGAAAACCATAGCTTTTACTATATGGACCTTTGTCCTCTCACTGTCACACCTGCAATCAAAATGCAGGCCATTCCAGTATCCGTGGATTTTCACCTAACTGGAGCTCAGCTGGGTTTTCGATGAGTCTCCAGCAAGAGGTCCTAGATTTTATCTTCTCCCACGAAGGAATGTGTACAAAAATGCATATACTAGCATGCACTGTGCATATAAATGTGTATACAGTGGTACCTCGGGTTACAAACTTAATTCGTTCCGGAGGTCTGCTCTTAACCCGAAACCATTCTTAACCTGAGGCGCGCTTTTGCTAATGGGGCCTTTTGTTGCCACTGTGCCGCTGGCGTGCCATTTCCATTCTCATCCTGGGGCAAAGTTTGCAACTCGAGGTATTACTTCCGGGTTTGCGGAGTTTGTAAACTGAGGCGTTTGTAACCCGAGGTACCACTGTATCTGTGAAAATAGCATGCAGTACCCACCCACCCCACACCAATTTATTGGAGGGAATCACTGCAAAAAGGGAAGGAGGGCAAAATTGCATAGAAAAATGTGCTTATTAGGAGAAAGTCACATTAAAATGCTGATGGATTTTAAAGAGGATTTTAAAAAAAAATTTTACAACTATGGAGAACTGAACGTTCAAGACTGGAAAAATGGAGAAATGGAGACCAAGGTGGAATCTACACACATATAAAAAGCATTCTGAAAATGCTTTAAGAAAAAAAAGTGTTTTTAAAAATACAGGACATCGAATTTTCCATAAGGCTCACCATCTCCATCTAGTGTCCCATTTGTATATTGCACTTAAAACACACTTAAAATGTTTTATTTGCAGTTGCATAGCTGAGTCCCAACTGAAACTGAGAGTCACCCGCTGCCTATCGAGACCCCAGAGCGGCTTGCAAAACGCAATCCCACAAAATGCAAAGACTCTGAAATACAACAATAAAATTCCTTGCGACGTTATATGCAGAGCAGAAGAGGAGAGTCTGAAATTGACATGTTTGTCCATCCCTAGGACTAAGCAAGATATGCTGGCTGAGTGTTAGGGACGGAGGGGGACTAAAAAACTGGGAAGGGGGAACAGGATGGAGTATCTAAGAACGCAGGCTGGGACCCAGAACGAGAGCACTCCTGCGCTGCAATGTTTTGTTGCAGATCTCAACCCCCCTTCCCCGGACTTTGAGAATCATAGAACCGCTCATCTATGAGCTCAATGCTCATTTATTCCAAACCCTTGCCATTATTATTATTATTATTATTAATATACCACCCTATATAAAAAAACGAAGATCATGGCCACTGGTCCCATCACCTCCTGGCAAATAGAAGGGGAAGAAATGGAGGCAGTGAGAGATTTTACTTTCTTGGGCTCCATGATCACTGCAGATGGTGACAGCAGCCACAAAATTAAAAGACGCCTGCTTCTTGGGAGAAAAGCAATGACAAACCTAGACAGCATCTTCAAAAGCAGAGACATCACCTTGCCAACAAAGGTCTGTATAGTTAAAGCTATGGTTTTCCCAGTAGTGATGCATGGAAGTGAGAGCTGGACCATAAAGAAGGCTGATTGCTGGAGAATGGATGCTTTTGAATTCTGGTGCTGGAGGAGACTCTTGAGAGTCCCATGGACTGCAAGAAGATCAAACCTCTCCATTCTGAAGGAAATCAGCCCTGAGTGCTCACTGGAAGGACAGATCCTGAAGCTGAGACTCCAATACTTTGGCCACCTCATGAGAAGAGAAGAGAAGACTCCCTGGAAAAGACCCTGATGTTGGGAAAGATGGAGGGCACAAGGAGAAGGGGACGACAGAGGACGAGATGGTGGGACAGTGTTCTCGAAGCTACCAGCATGAGTTTGACCAAACTGCGGGAGGCAGTGGAAGACAGGAGTGCCTGGCGTGCTCTGGTCCAGGGGGTCACGAAGAGTCGGACACGACTAAATGACTAAACAACAACAACAACAACAACCACCCTATACCAGGGGATCTCAGGGCAATTCACAGAATAAAATCAAGATATAAAACTACAATAGGTAAAGGTAAAGGGACCCCTGACCATTAGGTCCAGTCGTGGCCAACTCTAGGGTTGCGGCGCTCATCTCGCTTTATTGGCCGAGGGAGCAGGCGTACAGCTTCCAGGTCATGTGGCCAACATGACTAAGCCACTTCTGGCAAACCAGAGCACCGCACGGAAACGCCGCTTACCTTCCCGCCGGAGCGGTACCTATTTATCTACTTGCACTTTGACATGCTTTCAAACTGCTAGGTTGGCAGGAGCAGGGACCGAGCAACGGGAGCTCACCCCGTCACGGGGATTTGAACCGCTGACTTTCTGATCGGCAAGCCCTAGGCTTTGTGGTTTAACCCACAGCGACATCCGCATACCTCTACATATAATCAAAATTAAAACAACAACGCAATACCACCCCCCGCAAAAAAGAACCACATTTTTAAAGGGCATAGGGTGTAAATCGGATCAACCAAATACCTAGTTAAAGAGGAATGTTTTTGCCTGGTGCCTAAAGGTGTTTAAAGAAGGCACCAGGAGAACTTCCCTAAGGAGAGCATTCCACAGACAGGGAGCCACTGCAGAGAAGGCCCTGTTCTTGCATTGCCACCCTCTGGACCTCTCGAGGAGGAGACACACGAAGGAGGGCCTCAGAAGATGATCTCAGGGACCGGGTAGGATCATATGGAAAGAGGCGGTCCTTAAGGTATTGCTATCCTGAGCCATTTAAGGCTTTATAGGTCAAAATCAGCACTTTGAATTGGGCCCGGAAACTCATTGGTAGCCAGTGCAGTCGAACCAGGATTGGTGCAATATGTCACGTAGGAATCCTGCCCGCAGCCGTTCCCTGGGTGGGCTTGAACCACCAATCTTTTGGTCAACAGCCGGATGCACTGACCCACTGTGCCACCCAGCTCCCAAGACTTTGGGAATGCGCGGGATTTAGCCTCGTTGCTTGTTGGAGCTGAGCCAGGCTGGTCTGCCAGGAGCAGCTCAAGGCAACGACCCCACAAAGCGTGCAAATCAACATTCCTCGCTGGCAGCTGAGAAAGCTATCACAAAGGGGGTGAGATTTCCCTTCTGCTTGCAGCCTCCCTGTTGGCCGTGGCTGCAGGCAGGGGCGTTGGGGTCAATGGGAAAAGAAAGGTGAGCAGGAGCTGGATTCGAGAGACGGAAGCTCTCTTCACCTTCAGTGTGGCACCGTTCAAAGCGCTGACAGTTTTCCCAGTGGAACGGTCTTCTTCTTCTTTGGAGATCCCTCATACCCGAGTAAGATTGTCTTCCATGAACACGGTCTTAACAGTGAGTCCGTAAGTGGCTGTGGAGGCCAATTCTGGATCCACACGTCCTTCCACAGTGGGGACATTGGTTTCCGGGAGGGAGTTGATCACAGTGTGGATTTGCCAAGCGTGCCTTCCTCTTAGCATGTTTCTCCCTTTCGTCCTGAGTTCGAGCATCTTCAAAGCCCATGACACCTTTGGTAAAGGCTGTTCTCCAACTGGAACGCTCGCAGGCCAGTGTTTCCCAGTTGTCGGTGTTTATACTACCTTTTTTTAGATTTGCCTTGAGAGAGTCTTTGAACCTCTTTTGTTGACCACCAGCATCACACTTTCCATTTTTAAGTTTGGAATAGAGGAGTTGCTTCGGAAAACGATCATCAGAACAACATGGCCAGTCCAACAAAGTTGATGTTGAAGAATCATCGCTTCAACACTGATGACCTTTGCTTCATCCAGTACACTGGCATTAGTTCACCTGTCTTCCCAAGTGATGTGTAATTTTTTTCGGAGACACCGTTGATGGAATCTTTCGAGGAGTTGGAGATGGCGATTGTAAGTGGTCCATGTTTCATAAGCATACAGTAAGGTTGGTGGTACAATAGTTTTGCAAATGAACATTTTGGTTTCACTGCGAATGTCCCGGTCCTCAAACACTCTGCACTTCAATCGGGAGAAAGCCGCACTCACAGAGCTCAGGCGATGCTGGATTTCAGCATCAATGTCGGCCCAGGTAGCAGAGGTGATCGACACTTTCCAACGTTACACCATTGAGTTGGATTTGTGGCGCTGCAGGGGGGTTGTTTTCTGCATGACTGGCTGGCAGGCAGGCACCTTAAACAACAAGGACAATAATCACTTTGGAAATCAAAAGTTATATTGGTTAAATTCACACAATTTAGTTTTTGCTTGTTGAGCAAAATGTGTGCAAAATCGTGTAGAAATCATTAAAAATTATTGCAAAGTGCTTGCAGTTAGATTTATTATTATTATTATTATTATTATTCATTACCTGAGATGTTCAGAAGGTAAAATGGTAATACTTTGGTTTTCCGAAAGCAATTGATGTCCTTATTTGTCAAGCGATCAAGCTGAATGTTGCCCAGTCACAAACACAAATTGGCAGATTTGAATTCCTCAAATCCAAAAACGTATTTTTAAGACCCCTCACTGAAGAAATTTGCAAAAAGTAAGTTTCGCCCCCTAGACAAAAAAATGGAAAACACAAGAACTACCAACAATTGAAGAATGGCAGATGAAGATGATAGAATTTATGGAGCTGGCTGATCTCACTGGGAGAATCCGCAACCAGAAAGAAGAGGAACATCAAGAAGATTGGAAGAAATTTAAAGACTATTTGAATAAATATTGTAATATTAAAGATATGTAACCACTTGAAAGAATCAATTAGGCCTAGGATTAAATTGGGATTAAATTTATAAATAAGAAAATGCACGATAAGGAAAGTGATGTAATATGATTATGACTGTGATTTGGTTTTTTGAAATATTGATATTGGAAACTGCTACAGATAATTACTAAGAAATTCAGATGGAAGAGACTCGAGGAAGTCAAATACTATGTTTATGAAGACGGATAGTACTTAATTGTAATTAATTAAATGGCATTATTCTGTATTGTATGTTTTAATTTTTTTCCTTTTTTCTATCTTTTTTCTGTTTTATCTTTTGTTTGTTTTTGTTACTGTTAATTCTTTTGTATTATGCTTATTTGCTGAAAATGATAAATATTATTTGGGGGGAAGTAAGTTTCGCTCCTCCAAATGACACACCCTACTGGCGCCCCCTAGTTTTGCTGGACTCCAAGCTCTGGTTAGAACCAGTCAGGTCAGGGGTGACTGGGACTGAAGTTTTGCAAAATCTGAGTGGCCGCAAACTCTCCACTTCTGGTTTCTTGCTCCAGAGGAGCCGCCTTGTCGCCTGGACAGTGTGGAGAGTTTGGGTTTGGAGGGGGAGCGTTAAAAACTTTTACAAGGTTTGGAGTCCTCGCCTGTCTGCTTCTTGGGTTGCCTCCAGTCCTGACTTCGGGGATTCATCTTGAGCCTATAGTGGTCAAAACAGAACAAAAACCAGCTACTACACGTACGCAGAGGCCGGCTCCGGGAATTTCTGCGCCAAATTTCCATGCTAATAAAACACGACACCCAGTGTGATAATCGCTTAGCAAAACCTTAATTGGATGCCTTGTCCCTTCACAAACTGCAGGGCAAGGGCTGTTTACTGGCGCTGCAAAAATGAATTTCTAGTCAAGTCTTGGAACCAGACTTAGGCACCCCAGCTGACCCCAGCTTGCTAGCAGGGTTGTTTTTTTTGCGAAGTATAAAATGAAGAATGCCTGTATGTATGTTGCTGAAAGGGTTTAACATTGGAAATTTCCATTAAAGCATGCTGAAGCTCTCTCTAATCTCTAGCTGGGTTGATAAGGAACTGTTGATGTTCTCTGCTGGCCTTCATGTGAGTGTTTAACCTTAGATCATGCAATTAAGGTATTCAATTGCAAATCTCCATCTTGAAGGGAGTTGCCTGTTGGTCTTTCTCAGGACATAACGGAAACAACAACGAATGTAATAATCTCTCCAGGAGCTGCATAGCCTTAGGCTGGATGCAGACTAATGCAAGCTATGGGAGAGACAGAGATTTGAATTTTATTCTGATTGTAATTATGTTACATATACTTAAGAAGAAGTACCTGTGCTTGGATATTACGGAATTATCTGGATGTATCATTGATGTTTTTGTACCTGTTTTGAAGAAGTTCTGCCTAGTAAAGCTTTGAATCTGAATATTTTTTATTCCAAAAGGATTCTGTTTTCTGCATCCAATCACTTCATGCTGTGCAATATTAATATCTGCAATATATTTAGCTTGCTTCCCATGATCTGTAGAAGCTAAGTTTCTGTAAATGCATTTGGAAGGAGAAGGTGTCAGAAAGGACTATACAGTGGTGCCTCGCAAGACGAAATTAATCCGTTCCGCGAGAGTCTTCGTCTAGCGGTTTTTTCGTCTTGCGAAGCAAGCCCATTGACGGATTAGCGCTATTAGCGCTATTAGCGGTTTAGCGGCTATTAAAGGCTTAAAGGCTTAGGGGATTAGCTGCTAAAAGGCTATTAAAGGCTATTAAAGGCTTAGCAGATTAGATATAGGGGGGGAAAAGCGAAAAAAATCTCTAGACTCGCAAGGTATTTTCGCCTTGCGAGGCAAGCCCATAGGGGAATTCGTCCTGCGAAGCAACTTCAAAACGGAAAACCCTTTCGTCTAGCGGTTTTTCCGTCTTGCGAGGCATTCGTCTTGCGGGGCACCACTGTATCACTTTAGCAACAGGGGGAGAGTGTTGTCTGTTTAGGAGAGGAATTGTAGCTTAGCAAAAGAGTCTCTGATTGACATACAGAACACCCCAGGTGGAGTTTACGTAGCGCTGAGAAAGGCCCCATCTAAAACCCCAGAGAGGGGTTGACAGTCAGTGGAATTAAATCTAAGCTACATTTGATTCAATTCACTTTGTATTTAAGAGCGAGCCTGGCTAATTTCCTGTTTTTGAAACAAAACACCAAATCTCAGCCATCCTTCAAAATTCACACTTCTCTGAACATTGCGATGCGGTTTTCCAGCCAAGAATTGTGCATGAAAATGCATTTACTAGTCAAATTGTGCAAGTGAAAATAACATGGAAAGGTGTATTATATTAGGGAAAACTGATTTGCAAAAAATAAATAAATGAGCATGTTATGGAAAATTGCATGCAAAACTGTGTATAATTGGAGAATTTCACACTGAGATGTGGATAATTTTTTGCATGGACTTAAAAATTAGTAATCTCAAAGTGATGTGAAATGTGGAGAACTAAATCTAAGATTTGGGGGCAGGGGAGAGAAATGGAGAGGAACTGAAATGGGCATGTTCTCTACCAAACCAGGTAAATTTTGCAGATAAAGCTGATTTTCTACCATTAAGCTAAGCTTCTCCCCTGCCCCCAAAAAAGCATAAACAAGATTATAGTCTTCATGGTTTTAAATCAAGGGCGTATTGAAATAGGAAGCTAGGTTGTTTGTGGGCAGGACGTGAAATTCCAGCCTCCTCTCCTCTTTAGAAGGCCAACTTCTCTGGCCATCGAAAAGCCAGAGGTTTCTAGACCTCAGAATTCAGCTTCCACCCAGGCAAACAATTCTTGGGGTTACAAAAGCCTTATTGCCAACCAGTTGAGACTTTATATCCATCCCTTCCTAAAAGGAAGGGTATCTTTTTATACGCAACGGCGGCAGCAAGAGTTCTTATCACGGGAAAATGGAAGAGTAATGAAATTCCCTCTCTGCAAGGTTGGATCTGGATGAATCCCTAGCCGGAATTAAGATTGCCGGAAGAAATATCAACTACCTCAGATATGCAGATGACACAACCTTGATGGCAGAAAGTGAGGAGGAAATAAAGAACCTTTTAATGAGGGTTAAAGAGGAGAGCGCAAAATATGATCTGAAGCTCAACATCAAAAAAACGAAGATCATGGCCACTGGTCCCATCACCTCCTGGCAAATAGACGGGGAAGAAATGGAGGCAGTGAGAGATTTTACTTTCTTGGGCTCCATGATCACTGCAGATGGTGACAGCAGTCACGAAATTA